GTCACATTCATTCAAATAAGATATCGCTTCCATTGCAAAACTAGTAATAACACTCAACAGCATATATTATTATCTATCATTTCCATTGAGAATTCTCACAACTGAAGTTTTCAAACCTGGATAAACATTCAGAAACTTCGTAAGATACGTGAACCAACTCATTTACTGGTAAGGTTTCTTTTTTGAAAGAGATTTTATCATCACAGAAACATTGTTCAGTCCTATTTTTTCAGTTCTTTTTGTGTAAATCGGTGATATATATTTGATTATAGATTATTCGTTTTAGAAAATCAACCTTACTTCAATGGAGAAACCGACAGTTTTATGAATGAATAGTTTTTATGAGTAAACATTAATCATAAAATGCTGTTTGTGAATTATATATTGAAAAATTCAATTAAGAGTGACCTAACACTGTAATCTCTGCCACATGAATTTGGAAACATCTTAAATCACTGTTTAACATGATTTTAAAGCTTAAGAATATTGGATAAGTTTTTAATCCATGTTTGTAACTTATAACCAGTACTCATTAAATTATATGTAATATCAAATTCATAGAGTGTAGATGTGACAGTGTCAATGTTAAAACCCATAGGTTCGAACTTATTAGTTACCCAAACTAGTTAAAATCCTGTGAAGTCCACAATCTCTACAAACTCTTAGAGATAATAACAGTTATATGCTTACCAATAACTTAGTTTGAAACTAATTTCTTAATTCATATTGCCAAGCCGTTACTAGTTTAGTTTAGCTATATCGAGAACAAGACAGGTATCATCAATGACAGTGGATGACAGTCACTCAAAATTATTAACTGACTGAGGTCAGATATGTGAACAATTATGTATGAACTGAGAAGACTTAAGGTAGCTCTCTACCAAACTTCATGGTTTTAGCCTTAAAACATGATTAAGAACTGAATGTACACTGATAAATAGTTCCAAATAGTAGTCTATTGTTTGTCTTAATTTTAAGTGGTGATCTATACATAAAGTCCCCTGGTGATACAAAACTCAAAAATAATTGATTAGTCAGTGAGTAAAGCAACCAACTCATTTCTTTCCTAAACGTAATTTAAAAAGTTCAGTATTATTTATCTCCTTTGAATGTTTATGAAATGTCATTATTTTTAACGTACATACTGAAAGCATTAGTTTCGTCATAACCGTTAATTACAAGTTGTGGTTCGCAACCGTACACAACACTAAACCACTAAAAAGTCAGATCAGTAGGGCTGATAAATCACAATATATTTACGCAATACACTCAACCCCATTATTTAACCAAGGATCAAGAACCAGATATAGGCCAGTTAGCGGGTTTACCATACACAACATAAAGTAGTCAACAGGTAAAATCGAAATGGAACAGAATTAAAATAAATAACAATCCAAGATTATTTCTTATATATAATTCAGTTAGATTTGTCCATATTCACTCATTGACCAATCACAGTTTGCTTCCAGGAGACGCATTAAGTTATTTTTGTTTTCCCATTTTTAAACATACTACTAATTAGTTATCTAAGCTCTCATAAATCAAATGAAGCCATGTTTTTTTTAATAGTTGAATTCATGAATCAATTGAAGCTAGACTACCATGGAAAACCTGGAAGCACTGGATAGCCGTTTCGTCCTATTGTGAAACTTCACATCAACTATTAAAATTACTAAAATATCCACAAAAAAACTCATATTAATCAACATATGCTCACTGGTGACGGTCTCCAAGAGGTATTTCCTACAGTTCTAGTGAGAAGTAGTGACCAGTGCAGTTCAACTGGGTCTATTGTGAGATAGTAACTCACTGATGACAATGGTAGATATATCACTCAATTAGTTGAAGTTAGACATTAACACCGTTGGATGCCGACCAACTCAGTGATCTAGTGGTTAAACATTCGAGCATAAGACTGATAGATCCTGTGTCCGAATATCGCAAGGCGGTATCGTGTATGCACACTTCTAAAGAGTCCTACAATAGAATGAAACAATCATCCAGTACTTCCAAGTCTTCCATAGTATTCCCTTTTAAAATCACATTTACTAGTTATTTATATATATTTTTTCATATATTTTCTTTCTTTTCTTTTTTAAAACAAAATTAAATTTAGGTAAAAATATCAACAAAACAATCAAAATTAAAATCAATAAATCATAATGAACTAAGAAAAATCAATAAAATCAAATCAAATTTAATTGATTATCCTAAAATAATAAAACCAATAAAAAAAACTAAATTAATCAATGAAAAACAATTACAATCAATAAATATTGATTCATGTCATGTATATATTGAACCATACAATAATGAATTATTATTATTAAATAAACAACCTAAAAAATCTGCATTAAAAGTAAAACAATCAACAATATACAATATAAATAATAATAATGATGATAATAATAATAATTTAATCCATTCAGATAAAGAATTAAAAATTACTACATTTTTAGATCATAAAAAGAAAAATATAATAAATGAATCAGTAACATATTCTAATCATAATAATCGTCATGATTATCAATCTCCTCCTCATCCTCCTCCTCCTCCTCCTTCTTCTTCTCATCATTCTCATCTTGATCCTCATAATCATCATGACAATCAGTATTATCAACAAATGAATCAATCCAATAAAAAATTATGGTATTTCAAAAATATTTTATATAAATGTATATGTTGTTTTAAATGTACCAATCATGATCATGATCATCATGATCATCATCATTCGGATGAAAAACATCAACCATTAATTAAAATGTTCAACAGATCATCTAAATCATATTCATGTAAATCAATAAAATTTATAAATTCTACTCATACTACTACTAATACTACTAATACTACTAATAATAATATCCCATATGAATCAAAAATTGATGCATATAGTCGATTCATTTTTCCAATATTCTTTGTTTTATTTTTATGTATTTATTGGTTTTTTTATTTAGTATTAGCTAAAGATTAATTTTAAAAAAGAATAAGAAGAAGAAGAAAAAAAAAGAGAAAAGTGAAATGAGAATAGAGAACTTGTTGTATTCAATAGTTTCATTATAATTACAGTAAGATGATGATGGTGACGATGACGACGACAACGGTGATGATGACGACGACGATGATAATCAGTGATAAATGAATAATAAATCAATAAACATTAGATAGACTTAACAATCAATGTTATATAGAATTATTACTTATTGTCTTTCAGTTAATTAGTATCTTTTATACAAATATATATACCTATATAGATATCTTAGTATAAAACTGTATACTTATGAGTACATGGATGTATTATATATAAATGGATACTATTTAACCCAATTAGTTAGAATAATTAAATTTATCTGTATTTCTACGAATTTCTTATCATCTCTGACATTCCGTAATAATAACAATAATAATCTATCTTAAACTCTTTCAACTCTTCATTCTTTCACTTCTTCTTCTTCTTCTTCTTCTTCTTCTTCTTCTTCTTCTGCTTTCCCTATAAATTCTAGTTATACACAGACTCATTGTTGTATGATAACTACATACAAGTGTATACACTTAAACACATATAAGTGAATACAAATACAAAACAAACAAAATCGTATCATTATTAACATTGAAATTGCTTATCATAATTTGAATGATAAACATAAACGTTCAAAGGAATACAACACTATTATTATTATTATTATTATTATCCTTGTTCTCCAAACTAATGTTAATCATAATGATAATTTTACAAAGATTAGTGTAATAATAATAATAATAAACAATATCAAGAGTTATGAGTTATTGGTTGACTTTGTTTTGTTTTTTTTTCTTTCTTTTTTTTCGATATTTTTCACTGTTAAATCGATCTTCTCTAGGTTTTTCTTTCTTTTTGTCACTTCCTCTTCCCTTCTTTCCATAGTTCAAAGAGAAAAAAAGAATGTTTCTTCTGATTAATTTTTTTTGGCTTGTTTTGTTTAATTTCCTATAAGGAAAAATGTACAGTTGAGTGTTGTTGTTTTTGTTGTTGATGATGATGACGATGATGATGATGATGATATTAATGCTAATGCCATAATTGTTTGTTCTATGGATGTTTATGTGTGTGAGGGGATAAAAAGCTGGGTGTGTGGGTAGATTATTGTTTGGTTAAGGATAGAATAAGATCAAGACACTAAATTACTTGCTTAGTTTGATGTCATGAAATGGAAATCAACGGATTTTTACTCAGTAGTTTGAAAGTTACGCATTCCCTGGAAGAAACGAAGGTCCTTGATCCGATCCTTCGTGGGATCCTTAATATTTAGTGTTGATGAATTCCAAATTGCGGCGAAACAATTGTTCCAAACTTCCTGGTTTTTAGTGATTGTTTAATCAAAGTTAATCCGGTATGAAAAAATTTAAAAATCTATACCTGATGAAAAATTTGTTCAAGTAAAAATCATGCCCATGATATGGCCTATGAGTTACATGACAGTATACAGCATGAATTGAGATCAATTGAAGAATAATTAGAAAACTAAACAGTACTAAACAAATAGTCTTTGATAATGTTATGTTCTCTCAGGTGAATGGTCTAATTGTGAAGGTTCCTTTGTCATTCTGCACAATATTATCAGTGTATACTTCATGTAGCCATAAGCTTTCTGATTATTTCACAAGCATTAAATCAATCTCCTCTGATAAACCTTATATCTAACTGATTTTCTTCAAAGATTTTATCATTTCTATGTGTTCTTATATTCCTATCGACCTGTATTTTTTTTCGGTTAATCAATGAACATGTGATTGATTGACCTCCTCCATATCGATTTTTGTCATTCGAGGTCATTTAACGATGTATGACCATCACTTCAAAAATAGTAACAGAAAATAGAATGTTCAGATATTATGACAGACCCAGTGTCATTTATCTATTGAATTAGCATCCATTGATTCATAGACTTAAATTCAATCAATCTCTCATACATAATAAATATCATCAGTATGGGGGTTGTGGAGATTGTTAACTTTTTTGATTAAGATCATGAATCAATTGATGTTAGACCACCGTTGGAAACCTGGAAGCACTGAACGGCCGTTTCGTCCTAGTATGGAACTCCTCATCAGTGCGCATCCACGATCCCGCTCTCCGCGAGATTCGAACCCAGGACCTATCGGTCTCGCGCCAGGCGCTTTGTTGTTGTGTTATTCTACTATCTAGTGTTTCTTAACCACGATACTTTATTCGAGTCTACGTAAATCAGAAAATAAATTGTTTCAAAAGTTCAAACAAAAACGAGTTCAGTAGTAAAACTATTAGAGTCTATATAGAATTTACATAAGAATATTCTACCATCTTAATTCATCTAACAACCCTGATTAATAGAAGATGGATCAGTCACACAAGTGTTCATTCTTAAACAATGCACACATACATACACACAAATTTACATACCTATCACTTATGAATCACCTTGACAGAAATGACATGACATCAACTTGTTCAGACCTGTTTTTTGATTGATCAAATATTATTCTTGCATTGTTCCGGTGTACTATTTAAACTTGGATTAATTTTAATTTGGTTATTTATTCTCTGAAGAAGTGACTTACACTAAGCCACGAAACGTCAGAAAATCCAATTTTCTACTCATTGGGATATTACAAATATATTATTTTTATTTATAACAATCAACCCAATGCTCAATTTATTCGAAATTATCAAATCAAACCTTGGTAATGACACCTACTAACTTAGGGAATGTTTCTCAATCTTCTATTCTAAACTTTTACTCTAAAAAAAAACTAAATGCATCAGTCTGTGAAATGACTTCTCTAGTAGGTTATGCTTTAATAAGTAAACAAAAAACAAGAGGTCAGAATTGACGTAAACAAAGTTAAGTGTTTGACTTAACATATAAAGTTTTCACTAACCTTATTGAAGGTTAGTGAACTATGCATTTAGGAAAGTTATTTGACTGATACATTAAGTATACTTGTAAGCAAAAGTGATTGTCCTCTTATAAACTCATACAGTTTCCAACATTAAGAATTATCAATGGTCAGTCATGAAATTTTATAACCACCTACTTCTTCCTTTCATTACGAAATAATGAATAACTAATTATGTACCCACGTTTCTATTCTATTGTACTTACTATACATGAATGTCCATAGAATTTTAACTTTATATTTTGTTTAACTACTTATATAGCATATAAGTAGTCCACTTCATATATGTATTTTAAAAGAAAGCCGAATGCTCAATGAAGAATTCTTGAGAGATACATTTAATTATACATTTCGTCAATTAAATATATATATATATATGCAAAAGATAAAGTCAGTGTATGTGAAACATTTTCTTTGACTTAGGTAAGAACTGTGCAAATAGTTCATGTATTATGAATTAATACATAATGTGAAAGATCATTTAAGATATTGTGAACTTGTTCCATATCACCCATCTAATTGTTACTTTTATTGTTTTCCATGTTTTGCGTTAAATTTTTGGAGACATCCGGTTTCATTGAATTAACAATAGCAGATTTCTTCTCTGTCCCGACTGATGAAGTGTCATCTAAACTTCCTTGACTATAGCCTAATTGATTATCTCCATTATAACAACCACCTGAATATGAAGATAAATTATAATCTGGGTGTATTAGTACCACTGGCCCATGTGATTGATGTTGAGTGGGTGTATTTAAGCAAGCCCAAGTTTTTAACCATGGTGATTCGAAACCAACATGATGAATACGTGGATCAGACGTACGTAAACTAGTTGATACAGTTTCAATTGATGGTGGTCCACCTGGTGTGGCTGGTGCTAAAATTGTTGGCGTCATTGACAAGTCATGTGATAAAAAATGTGGTATTAATCCATCATCTGTTTGTTTTTCATTAGATTTAATACGCTGAGATTTGTTATTTTGTTTGATTTCAAATAGTATCTTTGGAAAGCATAGATTTGGAAAGACAGAACTAAAGATTGATAATAAACCGCTCATTATTGTTACGACATAGGCCCATCCAAGTTGACAGTGACCTAAAAGAGACGTTTGACAAGTAAAATGCAGAAAAATTGATGAATCAATCTACAGTCGAGTTGGATTGATAGTTATCGAATTTTACTGGTATATCTAAGAATAACTAAAATCTATCCAGTTAGAAGGTAGATATTGAAACGATGTAACTATCGGTAACCACCAAATATTCATCCCTTAGTTAATTTTTATAAATGTATTTAAAGAATCGAAAAATTTTGGGAAAACCCCCTGACACTAGCTGGATAGCCATTGAATAACACAGAGCACTGGATAAATATTTCGTTTGAGTTTAACTGAAAATGTGAAATATGGTTAAGTGGATGCCGGTTCCATAGACGGATAGTATTATGCAGAACACGAGACTTTTGACTTCACATAGAAAAAAAACGACTTCTCACTGTCATTTTACTGTGATGTAGATTTATTTCATCCTCTTTTCTTCAGAAGTAAAAATTCTCTAGTCTTTTATAGAATGGTTTTTCTAGCATCACGTTCAACTGACTAGGAGTCGAAGAAAATTGTGGTTCTTATGAAGGTCTTTAGTTTGATGTTTGGTCAAGCCGTGGGTGCACACTGATAAGGAGTTGCATACTACGGAAAATTAGTTCACCAATAATCCCTGATTTTTAATGGTACATCAGCTCAGATGAATCTTCAATGTTGAAACATTATTCTGATTATCACTAATCCTACTTTGATGCATTCATTTAATAGTAAAATGCACAAAAATCAAAGAATACTTACCTAGATCGAATCGTGAACGCCTTTCACCACATATTTGAATAATTTCATCATTGTCAGACCATCCAATAGGAAACAGGATGCAACATAATAGGATTAAGAGACCTTTTTAGAACAAAAGAAAAGACTTCATTTCTAGATAAGTGGTATAGATTACTGAAAACAAATACAGTAGTATTAAAATGTTTTCATAAAGTGATATTACCAATGATAATGAATGGTTATGCAATATCAAAAATAAGTTTCAGTCAAACATATAGTTGACTAGTTGGCTACTATTCATTGGTCTGAAGAACAAGCGTTTGCTTTGAAGTCTAAAGGTATTGAAGTCGATCTATGAAGTCATGGACGCGAATTTCTTAGGAGTTCCATGTTAGAATGAAACACCTGTTCACTGGTTCCTGGTTTTCCATAGTTGTCTAACTCATGTCAGTTTGTGGTGTACAATCAGTTCCTTTGATCATAAAAATGTATGATGATTTAGACCAGAAATGAACATAAAACAGTAATATTAGGTTGAAAACGTTGAAATAATTTCTAATTCTTTTGACAATAATTTTCACAAAACTGTAAAACCATACTCAAAACCACTCGATAACAGTGTCATTTGATGAGGGTAGAGCAATAATATAGGCTTCTTTAAAAGTATATATTTCAAAATACGACAATTTAAATAACTGAAATAAAGTTTAACCAAGTCTATAATCAATTTTATTCAATTAATGTTCCCGGCGAAGTCTAACTATACAAACTATTCGAATCTAATATAATGATCTGAAGAAGAACAAAGTGGTTGGGAGATCTGACAGTCTTGGTTTTAGTCTTTAACACGATCGTGACTAATCATTGTTGAAAAATATCAAAATAAAATGAAATAAACATTCTATTGTCTTTGATTGTTAATGGCTTCTTCGAACTATAACACAGACACAAAGTAAAACTCCCTTCATTCAAATTGTTAAAAGCATTCTCCTGTCTTAGTGCATAACCAATATTATTTGTTTAAGTAGTCAACAAAATGGGGGAGACTGTATACACTATAAAAACACTAACATTTCTTCCTCACACTAAATACATGCCGGCACAGTAGTCTAGAGGTAAGGTGTTCGCGTACGAGACCGAACGTCCTGGGTTTGAGTTCCACATGCGAGACCGTTGATGAGCACCGCTAAGGAGTCCCATACTATAACGAAACGGCCGTCCAGCACTTCCAGATTTTCAATGATGATCTAGCTTAGATCGGCTCATGAACTCAACTACCAAAATTGCTACAATATTCACAGACCCCCATTCTGATAATAAATATCATATTTACGAATGTGTGGGTGTACATGCATTGACAAGATATAAATCAAACACCATAAAATTAGTTAATTTTATTAGTTGAGACCATCAGTTAATTGAAACTAGACTACCATGAAAAACCTGGAAGCACTGGACGGTCGTTTCGTTCTATTATGGAACTTTTCAGCAGTGGGCATCCACGATACCACCTCACGGGATTCCAACACAGGATATATGAGTCTCGCGCTCAAACGTCTAACCACTAGACCAGCATCCAACGATGTTAATGTCTAACTTCGACTAATCCACAAAATTGAGCGACAAATCCACCATTATCTTCAGTGAGTTACTATCTCACAACGGACCCGGTTGGACTCCACTAGTCATTGCTTCTCACTAGAACTGTAGGAAATACCTCTTGAAGACCGTCACTAGTGAGAATATGTTAATTAATATCCGAGGGGGGGTATTTAAGACAAAATGAAACGATTTTGTTATCCACGTTAACACAGAGAATAATAATATGGAAAAAATATATCTCTATCAATAACTGTTTAGTTGAAAGAAAACAAAACTAAACATAGTGATGAATCCATTGATAATCGATACATCGATGAAGTAATCAGTGAATTTACATCAAAAATAACCCAATCTTACATGTCTTCGGTAATAAAGAGGAAAGCTAATCAGTCAGTTATATTCTCCATATAAAGAAAAAATAATCAACTCTAATGTTAAATATACGAAACTAACATTTTTTACAATTCGGAATACATTAACATCAATATCTATTATTATAAAGTTAAATAGAAACAGTCTACAGATTAATGATATACATTGAGCAAATCAGATAGAAACTTGAAAAGAGTAAGTACAATGATTTGAGTAGTATAACATGAATTCCACTGATTTCGTTTGGTTCTTGTCAGCTACTTACAATCTGTAATATTAAACAAATATAGTTATAAAATAGTTTGGAATTGATTACATAAAGGAGTTTGGATGAAAGTTGATATGATCACATATCATTATGGTATAGAAAGGGCGTAAATAAATTTAATAGACAAAATAAATATCTTATGTGAAAGAACATTCTACAACAACGACAGTAACAAAATTTCACTGGTTGAAATCATGAGTTAATTGAAGTTATACCACCATGGAAAACCTGGAAGCACTTGACGGCGTTTTCGTTTTAATATGGGACTCCTCAGAAGTTGTGAGATAGGAACTCACTGAAGACAATGATGCACGGTGGCGCAGCTTCGTGGATTGGTTGAACTTAGACATTAACACCATTGGATGCCGGCCAGCTCAGTGGTCTAGTTGGTTAAGCGCCTGGCGCGAGACGGATAGGTCCTGAGTTCGAATCTCGCGGGGTGCGAGATCGTGGATGTGCACTGCTGAGGAGTCCCATACTAGGGTGAAACGACCGTCCAGTGCTTACAGGTTTTTCATGGTAGTCTAGCTTCAATTCACTCATGATTTCAACCAGTGAAATTTCTAAAAATCTCCACAAAACCCATTCTGATGATAGTAATAAAAGTTTAAAGGCATAGAAACTAGTGGTTACGTAATGAATAAACTCTGATAAGTAGGAATAAAATGAGTGAAGCTCAGTTATTTAAAATAGGATTATTCATTTAGAACATAGTTGAAATAAAAATGACGTAATGATGTAATTGATTGAAAGAAAGTGTAAAACAAAATTTCATGATGTATTGAAAAGACGTTTATGTTATCAAAGCACGAACACGAACATCCGGTTTTTGATGCCTCATAGAGATGACTTTAACAAATTTCAAAAGATTGGAGTTCGACTGTTTATTAATCACCTTCAAAGATTTCAAGGCATTAACTTGATGTCCTGTGTCTAAGAAACGTCCAGTAATCATGTTATTTAAAATATTTATTCCCTTTGTTCGAAGACTTTCCAGAACATGACCAAAACAATCTAATTTATTCTCTCCTCTCCATTCGGACAGTCTAGTTGCTTTGGCAGGTACATGTGAATCTATAGATTCGGTTAACGGTAACATAAAAAAGGTACTTGATAGCTTTCAACTGAATTATTGAACATGTTGTTTCAGGCAATATTAATAGCTTGGCTTCAGAGTAAGTTCTGGCTAATACAACATTAAGCCTCTTAATCATCGTCCCTACAACGCCGCCACCTTTGGAGTTGAAATGGATAAACCTTGGCTTTTATTGACTGTAATTACATCCGACTTGTCTTCAGTTTTCTTTAACATTTATCAATGAGTTCGTGTGGGTAACATTTGTCTCCTATGCAATTTTCAACGTTCATCGATTCACTTTCCAGTTTGTTAATGGTACATATTTTTTTTACTCTAGAAAATAGTGTTTTGATCAATACTTTCGTGCAACTCATTGGAAATAAACTACTGAAATCTAGGTACTTGCTCTCTTCAAAATGATAAAGGGAACTATGTGTATGAAGTTTCTGAAATAAATGTCGTTAAAACGAAGTGGATATTGAGAAGTTCGAAACGTTTACCATTATTATAGGATGATGTATTATCTATACTTTTATTACACACTTATAAAGTAATTAGTTTATGGTATTTCTATGTTATTCTATTTATAAGCCTTCCTTTGAAGTCTTAGCTGTCGGTATACGTTTTACCATTCCTGAATTATCTCTGATTCACCTATGGCTCAATTCTAACACTGACTCCGTTGTGTCCATTCTATAATTTCTTACTTGTAGTATGTAGTGGTCTGTTAATTAGTTTATATAAATCTATCAATGTTTTGTTTGCTTGTTGTGTTCTTATTCTGATCGACTACTGTGCTAGAAGAAAGCTGCACTTCTGGTCATTAGGAATAGGAGTTGTCATGACCGATCCTTCAAGGTTATTTGTTACTTACCAAAGAGTGTCATTGGTTGAAATAGAAGGTATATGGTCTGATAGAGATGAAGTGTAGTCGTATTAGTAAATTTTCCTGATTTATTAATTTGATTAAGAGACTGAAAAACATAACAGGATAAGTTAGTGAAGTTAGCTTAAACAGGTTTGAATTCTACAGGAAACTTTGCTTCCCATAAGATTCTAGGTACTTCTTGTAAGAAATTGAGGTTCAGATTCTTCTATAGACTATCACAAACCACTTAAGATCGTTGTTACTCATAATCAATTTAATAAACTTGTACGGTAAGTTTGATTTAAGCTTAAGCGAATTATATAAAGTAACTGAATAAATGATGATTGATTTATGCTGGTACATCGTTTGAACAGACTCCTAACGAGTAACTTCTTGTCAAAGTATCACACCGCTTTTTCATCGCTTTCAACCCTTATTTTTGAAAAAAAAAATACAGAATTGTATTTCTTCTTTAAATAACTAATTTTATTTCACTGAAACAGGTCAGTTGTCTTTGTCTGATAAAATTATGACTCATGAAAATGAAGTTAACTTGGGTAGAAATAATAGTTATTCTTTATTCATTAATATGTTGTTTCATTCAATTCCCTCTTAAAAATGAGGAGTATCATTTATAATTGTTATGATTCATGATGTCTTATATATTGATGATGAGATTCTTCGGGTACAAACGGGATCTATATGAGCTAGATAAAGTGAACGACTGATACTTAGTCTTTCAACTATAATCCCCTATAAGTTTGAACAGAAAGAAATCAAGAACACTAGAAAATGATTTATATTAATTTAACTTTGAAGTATCAATTGTCTCAAGATTACAGGTACGCTTTGTTGACTTGTACCAACTAGAGCCAAGCCCAGGTAAAAAAAAGATACCTCAAATCACCCAATAACTCTGAAGATCTTGGGTTTGA